TTTGCTATCCTATTAGTGAAGATTACAATGCGATAAATGATGTAGTTTGAAGATTTGAGCTCGTTTTAGGTTTAGTTCTTGATGATTTAAGATTAAGATATTGGATAACCTCTATTTTTATACGTTCAGTGGCGCTTGGAATAGTGTTTAATAGATAAGCGATTATTAGAATTGCAAATCTAATGAAATATTTACAGCTGGCACTGATTAAGGCATTTGCACCTGTCTACCCGCTGATACAGTTGGCTTATTATTCATGTAAATATGAAAAAAATCAGTCCTTAGACAATTCTTTGGGAAATTTGTTATCAGCTTCGCCAATGTCGAGTACAGGTATGGTCTGGTTTGTATTTTTTTGATTTAACAATATACTTCATTGAATAAGCTTACTTCAGCGTCAGCGAATAATAATTCGCTACCCAGAAATTTTAAACAAGTGGGTGTAGTTTACTATAAATTATATTTGTTATGAGACTTTGGTGAATCTCGTTCAGTTTTCAGTTGTTATTATTGCTTCTCGCTTTCCATAAACTTATGCATTTTTATAATGACTTTTGTTACGTTATATCAATATAGTATATTAGTATATCTTAAACATTTTTATAATGACTTCTGTTACGTTATATCAATATAGTATATTATTGTGGGCTATGAAGTATTAAATTCGGTGGCTGATTATGTTTCACATATGGAAGGGAAAGCTGAGTAAATGCTGCACGGACTCAAGAAAAGCTAAATTGCACACTTTTCTAACGATATCATAATCACAGGGTTATCAACTGAACCTAACAGAACAGTTGATGAAACTATGAAGGTTGAACGGTTGTGGTATCCAGATGGACGTTTTCTGGAAAGGGAAGATATAGACGGGAATAACACATTCAGTAGCGGGTAGGAAATTCTTTTAATATTTCTTGATTAATAAGCTTTTTCTTACATGATTTCAAAGTATATTAAAATGAGTTAACTTTGTTCATAATACTAAGATGTAAAAATTAGTAGTGTGAAGTAGAACATCTTATTCTGTGGTGTCATCTAGATATACTTCTAGGAAGAAAGTTCTGCCGATAAATGCTCTGCTCATTGATGGCGTATGTCAGCAAATTTTGCGGCTCAAACTTTCTGAAAGTCATATGGTTTTATATAAAATTATGCTGTTTTTCAATCCAGGTATTTGGTTCAGATTTTTTTTATTTTTACTATTATTATCTAGAAAAGAAAGTCTTTTTATTAAAATGTAATTGGTGGAACATGGAACATTTTCCAAAAATCTAGAAGCAGTTTGGGAATTGATTCACACATGCACTGTTTTAACTTACCGTTTCTATTGTGCTCCAAGTGATAGGGACTGAATAAAATTTGGTAGTCGGAAAGAATAACTTTCAAGTCTCGCATAAGATGCTTTCGTTATAGATGCTGATGGATTGTCTGTAAGAGGAAGGGCAACTGTGGGAATGGAAAGGACAAAACTTTTGAATTATCTATATGCCCAGATCATACGTGATCGTGTAGGACGACAAGCTACTGAACTCTATTCTAACATGCTTATGATGACATCCACTCTAATCGTTAGTTTCTTTTTCTTTTAGAATAAATAATCGCGCATATGTGCGAAGTTGTCTTGAACACCTTTTTATGTTTTATTTCTTATCCTAGCTTGCATTTAGTTTTCTTCATGTTGAAAATGAGGGGAAAAATAAATCATTTATGAAATCACGCATAATTGGAACAACGAAGCATACAGAATGATATTCAGAAAGCCAACATTTGTTTTATTTAAAGTATGAACCCTTTTAGTAAAAATTATTGACAAGAATTTGCTCTTGTAATATTTATAAATCATTCTTTTTTACTATGGAGGGTTTTCTTTTTGCTGTCTTAAATTTATTTTATAGTAGGCCGACTTTGTATGAACACAATGGATTATTTTATTCTAAACTTCCCTCTGTTTAAATCGTGAGATTTGAACCTATTAAAAAAAATAAAATTTTAATCTGCAACAATTCATGGTAATAATTGCAGCGTGTTGCCTCGTATTTGAAACGCACATTCGACATATCACATATATTTGGTCCTGCAGACGATTTGATTGATCAGCTGATTATTGTTGGCTTATGATCATGATCATATGAAAGAAATATGCCTTATTTTTTTTGTCTTTGGTTTTGTCAGAACCAGGTCACATTAGTCGTATTTTCGGTACCACTGTCACAAAAATGAATTTGTTCGCTTAATTCAACTCAACTTAAAAAAAAAATGACTGAAAATTTCGATACCCACTTCACGCTGCATTTCTTCCCATTTTCAAAAAAATGATCGAAAATTTTGAAACACATTTCACGTTGCACTTTTTATTTTCATTTTTATTAATGGTACCAGTAGTTTTGTTCGTTGTTTTAGTTTTTTTTAATTCCAGGCTAATTTTCCTTTTCTTAGTATTAGACTCCCTCTTTTTTATTATGTGAAATATTTCCAAAAAGTCGTCGTAATTTTTTAACATTTATTTTTATCACATGTTTTTCCCCGTGGTGAAACATAAACCGGAACATATTATCAAACGGGTTCTGAACTGTATTCTATATATGTCCTCAACTCAGGTTGTTAAATTTAGACAAATATCTGTTACTGGTATTATTCCTTCTATTACTGCTACAATCTTCTTTTTCTTTTTTCGTTCAATTTTCATCAGTATTTGTTTTCAGGATTCCCTGGTCAAGTTAAAATTGCTTAGTGTCATGAAGTCCAAAAGGATATACGTATTTACGAATATATTGGTCATTTGGTGTTCTGAATAGTAACTGCCTCAGATGTAAAAATTTTACTCATATGAAAACCTTCAAATAATTTAAACAAATAATTTTAGAATTCGGTGATCACTTCAAATAGTATAAGAAAAAGAGGAAAAAACGTCTGCAGTGTTTCTCCTTTCCTTTCCTATTTATTTTTCTATGATTAAGAACTTCGGAATCCAATGATCATTTAAAAATGTCGTAACACGAGAACATACGTAACGTATTCCTTTTTTTTCCCAATATAAATCTTAATTCTCGTGAGTTTGGTATTCGTTTTTCGCTTGAGCTATTATTATTGTCTTGATTTTCGAAGTGTTTCAAATTTCCATTAGAATTCCGAAGTCTACCGGAATTTTAATGAGAATTCAGAGGGAATGTTCACCGACAGCGTAGCGTATGGAAGATTGAATGGAATAAGTGGTTAACATTTTATGATCCTTCCAGATTGGTCCATTATCAAGATTTGCGCTGTAAACAAATGACTGATCATTATTTAACGAAGTCAATCGTTGGTCATTCATATAGTTTGTGCACATGCCTGTATGTTGTTTGTCTTGTAATCCGACTATACTTGTGTGAAATGCTCTTACGAAGGCTATATTATCTTTGCTTCGCTTTGTATTTCTTTTTTCTCTTCTACTCCCCACTTTCATTGTTTGTTTTTTTCGTCGAATTGTACAATCAAATTGAAGTCACGAGGTTCTTTTAACGCGGGTAAACTGTTTTTTCATTGGTGAATGATTGATGGACATTAACTAACGGAAGCTGGCTGGGACTTAGCGGTGGGAAAAGTAGATTTGAAGGAAACATGCATTGTCCTTTTCTCTATTCTGAGATCCGTTCATCTCAAATGTTATGTTAGAAAAAATTTTATTAACTATAAAAACCAAGTACAACACCGGATGTCCTATATTCCGACAATTTCAGAGGGACAATATTTGTCCTGCTAAAGCACATATCAAAAAACAACTTTCAAGTTCTTGACAACACGTTCTTATGAAGCCACATTCTATTTTGATTGCAGATCAGGAAAAAAATAGATGCACATTGTGAATTTCAAGAAGATAGAAATGAGGATTCAGAGGTCCTGAATCTTTCGTGCACCATTAACAGAATTTTTAAATTTCAAGGACATACACATCCGACAAATAACGAGTAAATTTTGCGATAAACGATTTAAATGAACAACAGTAACGAAATCAAAACAGAAAAATATATCTAACGAGTAAACGAGGTAAGTAAAATTTTGGTTAAAATGGTGCAGCATCCCACAGGGTTTGCAAAGCACCGTTCAAAAGAATCAAAAACAAATGAAAAAAGAAACAACAAATTTCACTTTAAAATTGAGCTTTCATGGTTGTGTGAAATACTCCTATTACCATTTCCAGTACACTCGTACATGCGAATTACCTGTTATTACTGGTAAGAGCCATCCTGCCGTATCAACAAAAAAAATGATTTTTTGCAGTGTCCACTGTAAAATAAAGTTATCACGATAACAATTTTTGAGATTATTAAAATTAAGTGTAATCATGATTAATAATCAGAATAACATTTCATTATCCTCTCACCTACAAACTATTTTACTATTATCATTACCATTGTCATTACTATTCCGAGAAATATAATAGGAAAGGGTGATAACACACTGGGATTTGAATTTTTTAAATTTTAAAAAGATTTTGATTGTGTTTAAATGCTGTAGAAGTGGAGATATTCAAATTGGATGAATACACAAATAGATGGGAAGTGTTGAGGGGAAAGACAGAGAAAAGTTGTGCAAGCCAAAGATTGAAAGGAATGTGTTAAAAGAAACAGAAGAAAAATATGTTCATTCCAAAGATTACGATGCCGAAAATCCAACGTTTGTTAACCACAGCGGTCCTGAAATCCTAAATTATAAAAATGAACATGTCAGGAATTTCCATTTTCTTAATGATTTTTCCGTTTCCTCCTCTATTTTGAATGGTCCCTTTAAAAACTTATTAAAAAACAATAAAAAATGGAAAACATGTTGTCATTCTAAAAACAGCTCAAATATCTAGTTTTAAAGTGCGCAATGATGGTAAAATCATCCCAAGATGGAAATACTCTGAAGGATATTTTTCCAGATTTCGCAGCTCAAACTATGATATTCCATTACTCATACCAAAATAGGATAGAATTCGACAAAGTGAAATTTCAGAAAATATGAGAATAAACATACCTTTACTGTGCGGAATGCAAATTGCTCTTCGATGCTACATTCGAACAATTTGGACATTGTGCCCCATTGTTCCCGCAAACATTGGCATTATTGCGTTGTGTCATTAAATCGGTGAGCTCCTTCTGTAAATTCGAAAATATGGGCGCCGCTGCGCATGCGTTTTTCAGTGCAATCAAAGAGAGCGGATTCCACATGGGTGTGGCGAAAGGTGGCATACAAAGCCCTGCCGAACTGGACTGTATAGCAAGCAGCCGCATATAATCGAACCACTGACCGATGTTCAAATTTAAATTACGATCAAGAAAAGGATTATTAGCCGGAAAGGTTGCTGGGAAGGAGTAATTTGGGAATGGGAACTGTGGTTGTAACTCTTGAAGATTTTGATGGTGTTGCTGTTCGCCATTTGCTGCAGCAAATAAATTTGATGATTGTGACTGACTTTGCGATACCGGAACACCCAAAAGCATTTTAATATAATCGATGTAATTCGAAAAATATTCTGATGACTCGGCCGAAGCAGTTATCTGTTGAATTTTTAACTGATACTGCATGTATGTAGCTGCCTCCAGTTGCGAAATTGCCGTCATCAAGGCAGCATCTGACAGCAAAGAACTGAAAGTAGGCAAATTCTGTGAAGCTGCTTCTGTAACAGGTGCATTCACCGGTTGGGGTGGCTGTAATGTGTCCGGCATGCTTGATTTCTCCAACAAATATTGCCGTATTTCTGCAAGTTCTTCAATTGCCTCAATTGTACGTTTCCAGCTGTCTGACAAGTGCGCCATCGCAGAGGTGCTTATATGTGGTTGTGAATTCAGATCTGCTGCAAGATTTGATTGCTGCTGCGACGACATCTCTGTGCATGATTTGTTTCGTAGTTTATCCAATATAGAACCAGTCTCGACTGTATTAGAGTAAAACGGATCCTCATTCATGTGATCAGCAGTTTGGAGCTGTTGCGCCAGAAAATTCGAATTGGTCGCAATGGTGGCTTCCGACTTTACACGAGGTGGTAGAGTTAATAGAGGATTTCCTAAAAAAAATGAAATAATCACATGTCAGCAGTATGTCAACATAGTAACTTATGCATAAAACTATCAGTTATCAAGTGTATAACAATTGTTGGCAAAAATAGAACAAAATAAAGTAATTCATGTCAGAAATGCTTTTATTTCCCTCAAACTTTATTTTGTCAAAAAATTTTCACAAATATCCTGCCCAAACAGCGCCTCTATTACTAATTTGCACAGCACCTGAAGCCAGTTGTTTGCCAATTGTTTTCTTTCGCTTTATCGCCATCATTCGTTCTGTAGGATGTGTTGATATTTCGTAAGTTTGTTTTGGCTTCTGGAAAAATTGATATTTCCAGTAAGTTGAAAAAATAAATCATGCCCTAACGTATATAATGATTCTTCTTGAAATGACACTTGAAGCTTGCGCAAAGAGTCATAGACCCTGACTTCTAAATTAATCCGCTGCATGCTTAACGAGATCAGAATAAGGAAAAACAAGGCAAAAAAATTACTTTAGTAACTTTATGATATTCTTTCTGAACTTCACCACTAGCAACAGCTTCAACGTATGTTCGTTTTCGCTGAATTAACATATCTCTCACGAACTTCTCTCGGGGTAAGGGCTTCATTTTGGTATTCAACTTTACCGATTCATCAACACCGTATTTTCGCATAATTGGTAGATATTTCAAACAGCCATCTTCTTCAATGATTTCATTTCCAACAATTTTAGAATCTTCGCCGTAATTTTCGATGCCGATCACTTGTTGCACACCAGATGTTTTAAATGAACTCGAGTGCGGTTGTTCTGGTCCTGTGTACGAATGAGCTTTTGAACTTGATGCGACAATCATTTTCTCACTAACGAATGGTTCCACTCGCGCCGAGTAGGTCAGATTTTGGCGTCTGCTACGGTGACGTGGTTGTGCTTCCTTCCCATTAACTTGATGATACTGCGGATCATTTGAATCACTCATCATGATGAAATCACGACTGAGGTCTTCGAGTTTCAGTCCACTCGAATCTGTTACAGTTTCTTTTCATTTGAAATAAGCAACAATATGGAATGCAGAATGAAGATAGACAGAAGTATATGGTCTTTCAAATCCAAGATTTCAAAAAAGTGGGAATGCTGTTCTCAAAACTCGCAATAATACATTTGCAGTATTACTTTTAATTGTAATCGTACCGTATTTCGAAGGCTGGCACATTCCGAAACTTATCCAATTTTTTTTTTAAATCTTGGATTTTGAAAGACCATAGAAAAAGACCGTAGAAAAACAAATTTTAACAAAATCCCCCAATTACTAGAACTGCTAATTTGCTCCCATTTTGTAATTTTTATACTATTTTATATCAATATTTTTTTTATCATTTTATATTTTATATCATTATTTTTTTATACTGTGTAATCAAGATGTGTAGCGTATTCTAGAAAAGACACGCTTAACAAAAAAAGAAATCTGCAAATAATAAAACAACCTTGAAGCATTTCTTGAACAGGTGTCGTGCTTAAACTTTTTGTTTCGTTCCGTGGGTATGAAGTGATCTGATGTAAAGCATCAGAGCTCAAGCTCAACGCCTGCATTGAAGAATTTAAAGTCGCCGCAAAATAAAATGCCGTGATCAGGAAGTGATACTTAGAAACTTGCTATTTAAATATGAAAATACAAATGTAAAATTGCTAATTCTTTCCCAAGAAGTCGTTGCTTTTGGGACATTTCACCCAAGTAAAACAACTAAAACTTCGACAAACATAAAATACCTTCGAAAGCTTATTAATACTGACGGATCGGTATTCCGGTGCCGAAGGACAAAGCTGCAGACGAGAACGCCCATCCTTTGCAGATTGGCGGACTCTAAACGTCGCACCGCAGGAACGAAATTCTGATCGTGACAACACGTCTGCAACTCAATACTGATTTCAGTCAACCACTGAGTAACTTCAGTGATTTCACGATTATATAACAAAAATTTACTGAAAAACCGAAGCATTACAGTAACATAAAAAAGTAATGAAATATAGTAATGCAATTGCCTGCTATATTTAGCTCGCAATCGACCTGTGCTGAAAGCTTTATGACGGCAATGATATATTAGTGTATTAATTGAAAGTTTTCTCATCGTGAAAATAGTTCGAAAACCACAGCAATACTACAACTGTATGTGTGATATCACGATTACTTCAGGAAAATGACCTCGCGAAAGTCACAACTTCAGTATTATTCCTTAACAATGAAATTGGAATTTCAAAATAGGAGTCACACCAGATGTGAACAATATACTTGCTGGATTTTGCAAATGAATAGAACTGAAAGCTCTTACTTTTCGGAGAACACGGTGCGCTATGTGCAAGTCTCAGCATATCTTCTTCACGTAACACGTCGTTTTCTTCCACAGAGAATATGGCAGTGTCTTTTTCAAAGTGATGACTGTTATCTAGAAATAACAACAATTTACTCACTTCATATTTCAAAATGGGAAGAATTTATTAAATGCGAATGGCCTATAGCATAATCAACAGTGAGTTTCATCTATGTCAAACAATGTTATAATTTAGCTCTGTCTCTCTGAGGAGATAAATATATAGCCATAACATAACGTGCGAAAATTTATGCGTTCGAAAAATATCACTAAAGAGAATGTAATGTACTGGACATAATTTTTTTATTTATTATACCATGATTATAAGAAATGAGTAATCCCAGAAGTCTTACTGAAATATATGAATTATAGAAATAAACCGGAATTGCAATCGGGTTACTACAAGATTTGTTATTGTCAATTATCTAACAAATTTATAGTTCCATTTATCAGTCAAAGGTTTTTCCTGCGATAATTGTCCAACATAGCATAATACCATTACATAACAATCTTTACAAAAAATTATCGCAGGAAATGATTATGAGAAGCAGAAGTTGCAACTTTACTGTTCAAGAAATAACTTCAAAATTTCCCGGCAGATGTGGTGTATTAAATTTAAATTAAATATGAAAAAAAAGAAAAAAGTTATGATGGGAATAGTAACAGGCTGTTTAAACCTAAAGTTAACCTGAAGAAATGTAACTTCGCGGATGGTGCAGCGGAAATACTGGTTCAGCAAGCGGAAATTGTATGTCGGCAGATGGAGAAATATCTAAAAAATGATAATTTGTTGGACCAAATTAAATTGAAATTAAATCGCACTAAAATCAAAATCCGTATACTATGACAAACCACAACAAATGCTGTATTAAAATCGATAGCACGCCGAAAACCCTATTCTCACCCATCCGCCCGAAGCAACCGCTCTCGACGTCTCCCACTTCGAAAGTGATTCTCGTAAGTCCAAACATGCCCATCCCAACTATATGCAAATTTTTGGCACAAAAAACGTGACTATAAAGAAGGATAAGGGAAGCAAGAGGCGTCAGCAACAATATGCAAATTTTCACAGTGGAAGAAATAGCAAAAAAAGAATGGGGAGGAGAATGCCTTCAGCACTTATGCCACCGTGGAAGAAATAACAAAAAAAGAATGGGGAAGAGAATGCTTTCAGCACTTATGCAAATTTTCGAAGAAGAAATAAACCAAAGATGATAGTAACCAGCAAACGGGAATGTACTCAATTATTTGTTAGAGGAGATTAAATTTTTAGAAGATTGCGTAAATTTAGGGACCAAATTAAGGAACGTCCAAAAATACATTTCTGCAAAAAATTCCTAGTAAATTCTCGACTTTAACATCGCCAACACCCTCTACAGTATAGATTATTCTGAATGATCTGACCCCATAGTTTCCAAAGACAAATAATCCTCGCATGAAAAGTTATTACCTCTCTGGGACTCCAACCTTACCCATTGTTCTATTATCTCCTTTCAAAGTTGCATTACACAAACACACCGTACAACTATTATTTTACCAGAGATAGTTCTCATAGTGAAAAAAAGCATGGTATAAATGTGTCATTCTATCTTCATTGGAAAATCAAGAAACTTTTTTGCTAATACAATAAAATGATAAAGATTAAAATTAAGAAAACATTCCTCGATAAACTCGAGGACATCACACATCCCCTTATGTTCCATTTTCGAACTATTTCTATTCTTAAAATTAGAGTTCAAAAGTACTCACAAAACTCGTACCTTCAAAATAATTGAGATTTCCATCACGTGCATTCAATTTTGCAATGCTGTAGCTGCTGATGGTGCTGCTACTTTCATTGCCACCATTACTAAAGCTGCCTCTGCTATTATTACTGCAAATACTTCTGGGGCTACCGTTGCTCAATGTCAGTGTTTCTTCGCCCATTTCCGGGTCAGAAATAAGCTGTTCATCGGAGGAGTGTGAATCTGGTTCAACCTCTTCTACTTCAAATGCTAAAACTTTTCTCGTTTCTGAGAAAATTTATAAGACATCCAAGCTCTAATAAATTTCTCCGAAAACAACATAAAAAAGGGCCCATTTGCAGCCAGTCAATATACACTCGTTGGAGGGGTGTATATTGGAGAGTCGAGCCTAAATTAGTGTAATCATCTATAGTTCATGGAACTAACACAACCCGACCTGAACGTATCCAATTATTTTCCTCTGAGAAAAAAAAAAGTGATGCATTGTACGTGATTGGAATGTCCGGTATAAGCGCTTCTATTCAGCACGATGAAAAAATCAGACTATTCGGCAAAACCAAATGAAAATAAAATTAAGAATACCGAGTTATGCAGATTTTCGTATTTGTTCATCGTGCACTTAGTAATTTTGTGCAATAATTTTCATACATAAGTCCTGCCTATTTCCTAAGTCACATGAAACAGAAAGAAAAACAAAATGACTGTAAAGACGATTCTCTGAAAATTGTGAATGTCATCTGACAAATTGCCACAGTATCGAAATTATAAATAGACATTCCTGCTGCTACTGCACTTTTTTTTTAATTGCTGCACAAATAAATCTAGAAAACTGACTTTTCTGTAAGTTGAAACAAAATAAGTGAAAAACATGGATACCTATAGCGACCATAGTGTCCTCAACAGATTCTGGATTGTTGTCTATCACAAAACTCGAAACTCTGCAACAATGTTCACGTCAAAATACAAGTGATTTCAGGAGCAGGAAACAGAAATTTAAGAATAAGAAACGCCAGCTAAACAAAAAAACATAATGATAACTTAAACGCTTTGTAATAACGATCACAATATACAGGAAAAGTAAAAAATAGGTTATATTCTTCCCATCAACAAAACCAGTAACTGGTACCACAAAATACATACATGTTACCAATCAACAATTTTGGCTTTCTTTTCTTATGAGCCAATTCGACGCTACGTGGAACGGAAGATGATTCCATTCTCCAAAACGAACCTTTACCAGGTTCTTCTTGAGAGCGTGCGACCTACAATTTGTTCCAAAAATTTTCAGATTCTCCAAGATCAACTTTCTGCTAAGCTGAAAAGTGAGACTGTTGTTTTAATTTCGCCTCCCTCAACTGTCTGTTTTAATTTCGTCTCCCTTAACTGCTTTTGACTAAAACTTCTTTAGGAGATAATAAGCACGTAAGAATTACAGCAAGCGTTGCAATAACTATAATTTATTGAAACGAGGTCAAATTTATGAAATATTCAAAAATGAATGGCCGCCTTACCTTCACGAAATATCGATTCAGTGCAAGATTATGGAGGATCGAATTTTGCCAGCTCTTATCGGCAGAACGATACCATGGATAACGGCTTGTGATGTAGTTATAAATACCTGACAAAGTCATCTGCTGATCTGGTGAACTCAGAATAGCTTGAACGATCAATTGCGCGTACGAATATGGTGGTTTTTCATTCGAAGCTTCACAATCTTCTATAAATTTTCCATTTGCAATTAACTAAGATTAAAAATGGTTAAGTGTTATCAAAATACCTCTGTAGTTTTGATCAGAATCTGACGTCGAAATTGATGACGGTGATCCAGTGTTGACACTAAATGTATATTCATATTATTATAATTCAATCGAAAAAAAGGAATGAAACAAAACTCCTGATATCACAGCGCACGAAAAAAAAAGTATTGAATAGACAAGGTCAGAAGAGTGAACACAATAAGTCATTGATAGCTTGTCAACTAAAAAACTAAAGAGTAAAAAGACCGATCTTGAGATAGCAGTGCTACAAGTAAAACAAAAATTAAAGAAAATTAAGCAATAGTTAATGAATTTGTTTTGGAAGGACAAAAAAATAATGCAAGCGTGCAATAATAAACACATCAACCAAACACAATCAAACGGTCATCAACAATCAAACGGTACTTTGCTCCTGCAGAACCGTGCGGTGGTATTTGGATCGGTTCACTGTGTTCAGTTGTCAATGTGCTTGTGTTTTCTTCCTCATGGGATTTGTCGGACAAATGAAATGTCTTTTCTGAATCTGCAAGAGTAAATATAATTGCACTTTCTCTGAACCGAAACTTGATGATGCAAAACGTTTAACACTAATACCTTCATATGCAAATTTTCTCAAAAATATAATTTTTCACACAATTTCATTAAATCATATTCAAATAAATAAAATCCTCTTTCAGTTTAAAGAAGAATGATGCTTAATCTCTCAAATTCAAGAAAACTAAAATTTCAGTACAACTAATCCAGCCAATTTAGCCGCATCCCTTGCAGTTTGCATTTCGCAACTCAATCTCGATTAATCAACTCATAAATCCTGACTTAATTCCCATCAGTAACATCCTCAACTAAAAATAAGATACCCGCTAAAGAGATTGCTGAATCTATTTCATTTCCTGTCATCCTCACAATAGAAAAAATCGTATTCCCCGTTGCAGGCAGTGGTTCCATACCACAAAACAGCATAGAAATTCGTGTGGAAGGAAAACGAAAAATACAGCTGAAAAATATGAAACAGTTATTAATCGACGATAAAGACACTTATTAATTCATAGATATCATTTACTGATATATGATTTTCAATTTCTCACTCCATCGGCTATTGTACTTCTCCATATTTTCTCATTTTTGTTTTGATATTTTCTTTTTTAAAGATCCTGCTACTTTATTATACGAATGCATATATCTGGATATTTCGATCAAACAAACTTCCCAATCGATTTTATGCTGATTATCGACTAAAATGCTTCATCCTCTTAGCTAGTCATTCTTAAGAGAATTACGAGAAACATTCCCAATTTACTGGTTCATATAATCGGACTCATTAAATATCTTGCTCCCTGCGTCAACAACTAAAAATTGAGATAACGGTGAAGAGTCATATAAATTACATAATTATATAAATGAGCGAATCCCATCCTTAGTGACTATCCAAAAAATAAAAGACAAAATAGAGAAAGAAATGTAGGTGTTTATGTTTGTGATATATGTATTTGTATATATGTATGTATGAATGCATATGTGTATGTGTGTTTATCTACGTGTTTACTTGGAATAGTGTATGAAGTCAGAAAAGGGTATAATGATGCGACATTGCTATTACAAGCATAGCTTATCGATGCTTCAGTGTTCCGTTCAACAAACTCCAAAAATCATCAAGCATGGAGCAACTTTAATTTCAACTTTTCACCAGTCATCTGTTATACCTTTCCTTCACCATCCCCTCGTTTTCCCTCGCTTTCTACGCTCACTTCGACTATTTACAACTATGTAGATTTTAAACCTGAATAGGCTCCTCTTTCCCTCATCCAGATTTTCACTGATCAATTTATCTCAGTCTAAACTTCAAGATAAACGAACAATAACATACAAAAACCTCATAAAATACATTTTGTATTAAAAAAGAAATGCTGCGGTTATGCTTAAACGACAACTACTCTTATTAACAATTGCTCACGAATATGAGGTCCGTTAGTGATTTGAAAAAATACAAAAACTTTTAACAGATTTAATATAATCGTAGAATCTCTTTTTGTACTAAAATAGAAGACTGAAAGAAATACCCATAATACCGACACAGCAATTTCCTACAACTTCACAGTTGTGGAAGCTACATGTTCATGAAAGTGATGAAGATTTTTAATGCCACCACAAATTTTCATACAGATTTCGAGATTTTTCTGCCGACAAAATTGCTTCATGATTTTTGATTTTGATTATTGTGAACCTCGATGCTTATTCTAATTAATATATTTCACTCGGTTCACTAGTGTGCGCTCAATGGAATTAGTAATTGCAGTACATACAATCAGCCAATGAATGTTTCTACGATTTTCATCAAAAACTTCTGAAGAATCCAACACAGATTTCTTAAAGTACTATTAGAAAAAAAAGTTGATTATAAAAGACAAGAGATTGTTTTAATTAGGAGGTTGTGGCATTTACCGAATTATAAAGTCTTTGAGTTTTTTTTGGTTTTGAATTTTTGATTTTTTTTTTTTGATTAGAATAGTTTTTTGTTCTTTTATTTGTATAGTGCAAAGTGATTGTAAGTCTTCGGCCGCTTATTCTTCAATTTGTCGTATGGGGTTTGTGTTACTATCTGAACTTAGTATGGTTTATTATGGAAAATCTATGGCATTGGTTATAATATTGGCTCATGGCTACACTTCTGTTTTAATGTTTTATTTTATTGGAGAGTTTTATCATGTTGCTAATAGTCGTTTGATTTATTATTTACGTGGATATTTTAATATTAGTAGGTTGTTTTGTTTGATGTTTTGTTTAACAATGTTGTCTAATTCTAGATTTCCTGTATCTATTACTTTTTTTCTGAATATTTTATGTTGAATTGGTATATTTCTGTTTTTTTTTGTTGGTGTTTTTTTTTGTTTGTTTATTATTTGATTTCGTTTTATTATTCTATTTATATATTGGTAGGCTTTATAACTGGAAATAAGTTGAGCTATGTTTTTGAAAGTCGAAGAGTGATTTGTTTGCCTTTAGTTTTTATAACGTATAATTTTTTTTTTTTTTTGGTTTGTATTTATTATTTAATATGAATATTTTTTGTGGAATGACTTTTGGAAATGTTTTAAAAGAAAGAATTATTAACACTGTTAATCATAAGATTATTGGTACTAACTATATCATTCTTGGATATTGGGCTAGATTTGATGGCTCTTTATTGTCGATGGTTATGCGTTTTAAATTATCTAGGCCTGGCGGTTATTTATTTTTTGGAAATGGTCAGATTTATAACATGGTTTTGACTATGCATGAGGGAGAGAGAAAGAGAAAAAAGAATCGCTCTACGCAACTTGAATTAAATCGAAAATCTGCAAAGATGTACAAAATTTCTATGCATGAGGGAGAGAGAGAGGGAGAGAGAAAGAGAAAAAAGAATCGCTCTACGCAACTTGAATTAAATCGAAAATCTGCAAAGATGTACAAAATTTCTGTTAGTCTATTGTGATAAAAAAAATTTTTTTAGAGTCTTTTAAATGTTTGGACAAAAACTCCCATTTCGGACAATCAAAATACCAAAACCAATAACATATGAATCTCATTGATTGAAAAACCAGCAACTACATTAGAAGAATGAACACGACCATACTCAGAATACTGTTATGATAATAGTAGATGAACTACTGAATGTTATTTTACTAATCAATCAATACAAACCTAATCGGAATGCTTTCAGCCTGTTCAGATTGTGCATACATAATTTCATTAACGAATACACCGTTTTTCCCATTCACTTTGATGTTCCACTTATTCGGTTGACCGTTATAAAACAGAATGAAGTGACATCTGCTTACGTAGTTGCCTTCCTGGAACAATGTTACTTTCCTTTTTCTTTATAAAAAACTACTAAAACATACTTCACTGAAACTCGGGAGTGGCTGCCAATTAAGACCTTGAGAAAGTTTAATAAATACTATCTCGTTGACTTGAAGGTTAAATTCTCGAATCTCCAAGCTTTATTTCTTCGCGTAAAATGTCTCTCAGCATGAACTCCATAGAAAAGTAAATTGGAGAATGGAAGGTCAAGAATGTATTATATTTTATTTCCAGTGCTTGAAGTCAATCAGTCTTCATAAATTACATTTTAACAAAAAGAGGATCCAAGATTTGCATTAAATATTCTGTCCAATTTACAAGGCTATAATGCGGTGAATGTTCCCTGTAACAAGTTTATAAAATGAAGTGAACTGTGAAAACGACCTGCACAACAAAGTCTGCAATCGAATTTGCAGAATCCCGGCCTACAATCACGACTTCCTTTGAAATAACAAATGGTCCCTTACGACCCCAAATGACCGCCAACGGATGAAAGGTAGGCTCACCAATCCATTGAACCTAAAGACGGATTTGCACATCAGTTTGCAAATTTCTAGAACATTGTGCATTTCAAGGATGAATTTAAAAAAAAAGTTTCAAATCGAAATAAAAAAAGCCTTCGTAGCATTCCGCTTAACATCCTTGCACAATCCACCGGTTAAGTTGTTTGCGCGAATTCCTAACTGTTCTTTTATTAAAGGCACTCGAGTACTGAAAAACAAACATATTACTATAAAAAAATTTTTGAAATTTATTTTTAAGAGAAGATCATTTTTTTAAGATCATTTTGAATCTTCTACAAAATTTCAAATAATTCAAACTTTCAGAACAGATAATTGAATATTAACTTCGAAACAATCCTCACAAATATTTCTCGGATTTTTCATTGATTTCCATTTAAATTTCAGCAACCTATTTTAAAATATTTTAGAAAAGAGCTATTTTAACCACGTTAAAAAGACTAAAAATGAAAGATCAGGAAAATATTTGACAACATTATTTCAGAGTTGACTTCCAGCTATCCATCCTGAAAGTCTGAGTTGCTTGAAATTTTATATAAGATACAATATAAAAGATAAAGTAATGAAATCGTAATTTATAGAGCAGATCAAACTTAACATAAATATAATAAATATAAGCCTTCGCCTAAAAAACTACTTTGTGATCTTTTCAAAAATCATACCAGTATTAAATTGTTTCAAATGTTACAATTTGAAATATGAGAATAACTGAAACAGTGGTACTGCTTACTGTTTTTATGTAATAACCAAAGATTTAGCTAATCAACCGGATTTTCCAATAATAACAATAAAACAAGCTTGAAGCTTACTCAATGTTTGATTGACCCGTCTTAAGTGTTTGATGCTGACGAATAGCACTATTTATAGCAGCTTCAACAGCCGATACAGATATTACTGCTCTGTTGCACATTTCATCTCCGGATGATAATTCATCAAGTTCACTACTACTACCCATCTTTGCGCTACAAATAAACAAAATAAATTTTTTCTTTTTGAAAATATAAGCCATATGAATTTATCCCAAAGCAAATGTCGCTAGAAAGCAAAAGACATTAATTTGAACTAGGCAATTGATCAATTACTATTTTCGTAATCAGCACAAGCAATTTTGAGGAAGTAATTGACAAAAAAAAGAAAAAAATGGAAGGGTTGCAATACTTAGATGAAACTATTGAAAAGTACTCCTAGCCATAACACCTAATTTACCAGCTACTGTGGGTCATTTATCTTCCTTAAAAAAGAAATCCAAATTTTCTGTATTTAATGAAATTCTGCTGAAAGAGACAAGAAATACAAATATATTAATGACTTCCAGAATCATAACTAAATGATTCTGAACCAATGACAAATATGAAAGAAAAAAGCATACAATCTTATGAAGAGAATGTATTATTATCTGGTCATAGCAGAATGTATAAAAACTTAGGTCAATACAAAACTGGGCGCATAGAGCTCCTCCCGAATTTCGGACAAGCCTCCCGGAAATACAGACATCCACAACTCGCCCTAAATGAACACCGCAACGCAATTATCCTACAACCTCAATTGACTACGACCCGTACAATCCGCAAAATATCGTTCCAATTTGTAATGCCGTTCCGCCACATGTGTTGCACTGGGATGCAAAATATAGTGGTAATAGATGAGAACGCTGGTCAATGCGAGTACGCACGAGCCAGTACGCACGAGATAAAAAAGTTTGTGTTTAAAGTTTGTGTACGACGTGAAGCCGCGAATGGTTATCATAATATCAGCATTCCTATTTTCGCCTTCATTTCAAGTATTTATTTTTTATGCTTCAGTTTGGATAATTCATTTCATTGCTCCATTATACTTCATATTTTCATTTTGATTTGAAAAATTCACATTTATCATTTCCAAAATTTGAACTCATTTCCTTAACCATGTTTTAAAAAATTAATTTAATTCAGTATTTTAATCTATTCGTTTCAGATTGTTTTTAAAATAATTCTTTCTAAAACATTGCCATATGTACTTGTCGACCGATGTAAAGATTTATGTTTTGTTGCTGCACGAGCATTCCAGGTCGGGATAATTATTTCAATCATTTTCAAGTAAACAGTTATAATGATAGAGTGCAGATGTCAGTTAAGCATCAAAATAAATTAGTGTTTCGTGTCCGTTGTGATTTAGAATTTTGTCTTCACGCGTGTTTAGCGATATCGAAAATTTGTGAAATTTTTTAGTTTAATTCCATAAATTTATTTTAGAAAATAATAAAAGGGAAAAAATCCAGTTGAGCACTTCACTTTATGTATTTCAACAAATTTATTGACTACTGTTTACTTTCTTTTTTTGTTAAATCATATTACTCGTTTCTCATCGAACCCGTAATTTTTTGAAGTTATTCAATGATTTCACTCAATTTTTATTTTCCAAAAATCTTATTTCCCCAAAGTTATTTTTAAATAAATTGCCCAAAAATAAGGTAAAAGTAAATTCCTTATGCTGATAATAGACACGCTTGCTCAAGTTGCTTGTAGACATCAAAAACTTCGGATAACTTCATACAAGATAGATGTAAGTGTAAGCCATCCTGGAAGCGCTGTCAATGGTACCAAACACTGAGTTCCTTTTGTAGTTGTTAATATACTTGGTTCCGTTACTCCTGCAATAATAACTGCTAATTGCCATAAAAAATTTCAGGTGTGAAATTAAATAATTATGCATTGGGTGTTGGATTTATCACTCAAAAAACAATTGGAACTTATTGATTAAACTTTTTTGTTGAATATAACGTTGTGATCCATCTTACCAGAAGTACAATAGATCGAACTGCACGAGATCTATTCAGAAGATTTCAAAAGTATTTCTGTCACTACTAAAAGCTTATAGGATGTTTTGCATCAGATTCAAATATGTTTAAGAAATTATAAATGATGGTGCTTTAAATAAGTAGAGAAAAATTGGTACTTTTCAAGCTTTTTTTCATGTACGCCATCAAGCTTACGGTGATTTTTCATGCGGTATGCAAGGAATCATAAGTCAATTACATTTCAATGTAAGGATTCGAAAAAAAATTTTCTATCGGCGATTAGGAGTTAGGAAATGAATAGGATAAGAGATGAAAGGAAAAAGATGGGAGCGGAATTTGTCAGAAAGTATTTTCCGAACTGCGGCAAAAAGTTTTTTTATTGAATATAAAGTTGCAATGAGGTAAGTGCTCTAAAATTACTCTTCAGTGCCGTCCTTTACCATAATGAATTAAAATTAATGAGAGAAACCTGAAAATAGAACATACAGTAGTATTATACATACACTCTGCAAGCTTATATCCCTACGACAGAGATTTTAAAAACTGTATATTTTGAAAAATCGATCTTAATCTATACAGCAATTCCTACAGAGCAAATGTATAAGATGAAAATTAAAACCAGCTTCAGTTTCGGCTGCAGAAGGTGCCGATGTCATTTCTCCTTCTGCATTGTTATTCTGAAATGAATAAATAATTTCATCATAGAAAAAAGTAAAGCTAAGATGAAATATTTAAGATTTCTTTTAAAATTTCATCTTTTAAAAATTTCGAATATAAATAAAAAAAAGATATTGCCAATGTCATTTCATAATTTCACGTTGAAAATAATTGTTAACTTACTTCTAATTGATAAAGAATAAGAAACATTATCAAAAAATACGGCATTAGTCCTGAAAAGAGAATAAATATAAATTTTTTTTAATACAACGCAATCCTTTTTTAAAGAATTATTCAAAATTAAATTAAAAGGCTCTATTGATCTTTTTGTTTTTTAAAAAAAAATGCTTTGGGATTTTTTTTTTGGGTTTTAAATTTTTATTGCAAACCAAAAAAGTAAAATTGAAAAAGACGAATAGTAATTAGCCGTAAATTTGATGTTATCGATATTGTGAACAGTATGAGATGGACAAATTCTGTTTGAGAATATGAATCTTTTCTACCTTCTTCCTACTTTACTAATTATTTCGGCATATTTCACATATTAAAATATGTATATCAAATTTGAAAAGTTGAGATATTTTTAAATCAAGCTTTTAAGCCAAAACAATTAGCCAAGTAAAAAGAAAGATGTAAGACTTAAAAGGGGAGAAAAACAAAATGAAATTGATGAAAGATTTTATGAAGACGGGAGGTACGACCCGTTGCTAGACGGGATTTGGAGGAAGTAAAGAGGGATGAAACGTTTTCACTAGTAACCAAAAACTTTCTTATCTTATCACTATGGCAACCCATTTATAGACGGATTCAAGTTTGAAGTGTAACGAATTGATCAGCTAATTTTCAAAAGAAAAAAAAGTTGATTTTTAAAACGACTGAAAACAAAATATCCCTATTCCTTCCCTCTCCTCGATTATCATAATTGTTTGTATTTAAAATTAAAATAAATTTAAACAAATTTTATTATTTCAAATCAATAAGACGACAAAATTCCAAACTTCAATCATTTTCTCCTCATACTGCAAACTGGTTACAACGATATATTAAAGATAAAGAGAGAACGAGAAAGATTATCAAATTATTATATCATATCATATTGAGTATATCATCCTTTAATATATATTCATATTTCATTACAGTTTCATTTCTCAAGCAAATTATTTATTGAAGAGATATAAATGAATCAATCGCTCTTATTTTCGTGCAATATTAAGCAATTAAAGTTTCGACAATAGTGAAATTGCAAAATTTAAACTTTAAAATTATAGTAAAATAAAAAGTGCAGAAAATAAATAAGTAATAAAATTATCAAAAAATAGGCAATAAAATTATTTGCGTGCATTTTGCAGCTTTCGTTCATTCTTTAAAAGTGGTTTTTTAAATCTTTTATATTTCTACTTAAATATGAACATGTTTATATTTTTATTTTTTTAACATTGGGATCATATACGGTAAATATTATGAAATTTGACGATAATTATCTTTTTGTTTTCATTTCCTCTTCTACAAGAAAAATATACAGAAATTGTTGCTCAATTTAAAAAAAAAAATGATTGATTAATCTCATCGATTTTCAATTACTTTTGCACAAATATATTCAAGATATCTCGGGTCAAAATCAAATCATTTCATTTTTAAAATTTTTTTCTTTAATTTTTTGCTCTTTAATATATCATCTTAATCTTTTCTTATAATTCATTTTTTATATCATCAATGAAAAGTTTTTAAGTAATTATTTCGGTTTTCAACGATGTATTATGAAATGGCTATTTTTCTTTTCTTTTTCAGATTTTCATAGAAAATAATATTTTTCAGCCATTACAATTAATTATGCAATTAACTTTCTCATATTCATTTAATAAAGTGCTTTGAATAAAGTGCTTTGAAAACTGATGGCTTGCATTCAGTTCATTCACATAACAATCCTTAGGCCTGTTGAAATAAAAAGTTTCCGACGAGTAATAGTGGTAGTGGCATTACTGGAAAATTGAAACCGATACTAAAGAATGTTGGGCTAAAAGAGTAGGCCAAGAAATTTCGTCGTCGAAAATTGTTAATTATGAAATTTTTTCATCACGTATAAAATCCGCTGGTATTGCTTTATTATCGCTATGCATTCGTTTGTTTGGTCCAATGTTGTTAATATCACTCTTTGATCACAGAGTCAATCAGTATCACATCCGTGGTATGCAATCAATGTCGTTATATATATGCACATTATTCCATATATCTATCCCATTTTGCTACTTTCCGATATTGCTATTTTCCATAATTGTACCAGGCAAATTTGATAATCAACATTTGAAAAATTTTGTTACTTAAAAAAAATTGAATTAATTATCATCCATCAAAATTAGATTATCACCCATCATAATAGCTCCATATATGTTTACATCTATAACTAACGTCAGTTTGCGAAAAATTAAAAATTTGAAATAAGTTATCGAATTGCTGGTTATTTGGTCATTCTTTCTTCGTCTTAATTTTTACTGCTTGGACAGAAATTTGAAGTGAATACTTTCGTAACAAATATGTTTCTGTAATATAATAATTTCAATGATATGGGAAAAATTCAAGACGAAATGTTGTTGAAATAGAAGAGAGCAATAAAATCGTACGAATTATTTTTGTCTTAATGTAATAAAGTGTTTGCTTACAAATATGATATTGTTATTGATCATTTCATCAATTTGATATCATTTTAACAGAAATATAAAAATTGCCATCTAACAACTTTCATGTTCCGAAATATAAATCTTTAAAGTGTAATGCTGAAAATATATATAATAATCGTTGAATTGAATTGTACGAATTTTTGGACGCTGTATTATTTTTTATTACATGAGAAAAATCTGATACGTTTGGTAAAGATTTAAGAAAACAGGTAAATTTTTAAATTTAAATATCACAGGAAAAAACTTATTTTACTGAACTGTAAATGTATTGGCGTTCTACACCTTTTGAGGAATTAATTAGATATTGTAGAACAGAGGCCAAGTTTTCCATCAATCAACCTGTAGATTTATTCACTTTCTCAGTTTGAGAAAAACAATATTGAAGTGATATTCAATGTTAGTTAAAGTTATCATCTTTGTTGATCGGCTAATATCACCATTAATTTCAGTAGTAACATTAAGCCATTACGCTGTTAGTTATGGCTGAAAAATTATCCCATGACATTTTGAAAAATAATAGCCGTATATTTATTTATTTGCTGCTCGTTTAGAAAGTTTTCGTTTTGTCAGAAGTATTTGGTACATTAAACTTATCGCTTTTTATCGCAGTGAAACTTTATTTTACTGGATTGAAGAAA